TCTACAGGAAGTAAAGAAACACGTCTCACCCCGTCTACAGGAAGTACAAAAACACCTCACCCTGTCTACAGGAAGTAAAAAAACACGTCTCGCCCCGTCTACAGGAAGTACAAAAACACCTCACTCCGTCTACAGGAAGTAAAGAAACACGTCTCACCCCGTCTTCAGCCGTCAGCTTCCTCCTCTTCTTCACCTTCTCAGGCAGCAGCTTCCTGACCCGTTCTATGGTGCTCTCAGAACCAAACTCCTTCTCAAAGTCCTTCCAGGACTCGAGGAGCATGAGCCGTTCCTCCTTCTCCTCGCAGCTCCTCATGCTCTTGTTGGCCTCCTCGTAGACCAGCCGGCACCTCTGCAGACGCTCGTCTCCATCGATGGACATCTCAAACTTGGCCAGGCTGATCCAAACCTGCAGGAGCAGAAGGCGTTCAGGGGACAGTTACCGGTCTTGAGTGTGTTGATCCAGATGTTGTCCTCACCTTGACGTGCTGAGTGCGCTGCAGCAGCCTCCTGTAGAGCTTCCTGGTGTTCTCAAACTCCTCTTGCTCGATCTCAAAGTCGATGTAGGACTTCCACAGAACCTGGGAGGACACAAGAACTCACATCATCACCCACTCCATCCACACCAGCTGGACCTGCAGTTGAACTCTGAATAAAATGTGGATTATCTTAAAGCTGCCGCGTGGAAACGTTCACACTGAACAACCGGGGCTTCCGGTAAATCGAAAAGCTTTTAAAAATGGCTGACTCAAAAATATTTTTTTAAATAAATAAGATTCATGAAGGTTCCGTCAAAGTCAGAAGTTAATTTTGAATTTGATTCAAAATCACAACAGACCAGTCTGACAGGTGTGATGCATCATGGGAGCTGTAGTTTTGAATGTTAGATGTTTGTTGGTACGTTTTTAAACTAGAGAGATACACGGAACCAGAGACGAACAGAACCAGAGACGAACAGAACCAGAGACGAACAGAACCAGAGACGAGCAGAACCAGAGACGAGCAGAACCAGAGACGA